ATACCATAGTATATTTTGAAATCAGTAGGCATTGGCAAATAATTGTGAAATGAGAAAGTTGATTAGACCTCTAGGAACTTGGGACAGTAACACAAAATGGAGACAATATTTTGCTTCTCCTTCTTAAAGCCTGCGTAGATGTCTACCATATTTAGTCTGAAACATTAGTTCAGGTGGGCTATCGTTTCTTATATACAGAAAGTTGATTAGATCCCTCGTGACCTGGGAATGCCTGCGTAGATGTCTACCATATTTAGTCTGAAACATTAGTTCAGGTGGGCTATCGTTTCTTATATACAGAAAGTTGGTTAGATCCCTCGTGACCTGGGAATGCCTGGGTAGATCTCATCCAAAATTGGCCTGAAACATTATCAGGGAGTGGCAATGATATCAAACATGCATGAAGTGATCCCGAGATTGTCCTGACCAAATCTTATTTTTCCCTTTGGTCCAAAATCGAACGTAACTAACCAAGAACAAACAGTCAGAACTATGTTCTGTGTTTGAAGTTTGATTTGTTAAGGAAAAGAAAGAGATGATGTGTTGTTATTTTTCAGTCTGATCAAAATTTCAACATGGTAACTACAATAGCCATTTTGTAACATGGATGTGCAACTGTTTTTCCATGACCAGAATATATCATTAATGAGTTTATATCAGAATGAGGTGTTTTGTATGTAGATGTTAATGTCAGAATGAGGTGTTCTGTATGTAGAGGTTATTGTCAGAATGAGGTGTTCTGTATGTAGAGGTTAATGTCAGAATGAGGTGTTCTGTATGTAGAGGTTAATGTCAGAATGAGGTGTTCTGTATGTAGAGGTTATTGTCAGAATGAGGTGTTCTGTATGTAGAGGTTAATGTCAGAATGAGGTGTTCTGTATGTAGAGGTTATTGTCAGAATGAGGTGTTCTGTATGTAGAGGTTAATGTCAGAATGAGGTGTTCTGTATGTAGAGGTTGTGACAGAATGAGGTGTTCTGTATGTAGAGGTTAATGTCAGAATGAGGTGTTCTGTATGTAGAGGTTAATGTCAGAATGAGGTGTTCTGTATGTAGAGGTTAATGTCAGAATGAGGTGTTCTGTATGTAGAAGTTAATGTCAGAATGAGGTGTTCTGTATGTAATGGTTTATTTCAGAATGAGGTGTTCTGTATTTAGAGGTTAATGTCAGAATGAGGTGTTCTGTATGTAGAGGTTATTGTCAGAATGAGGTGTTCTGTATGTAGAGGTTATTGTCAGAATGAGGTGAGGTTAATGTCAGGTTAATGTTGAGGTGTTCTGTATGTAGAGGTGAGAATGAGGTTTCAGTATGTAGAGGTTTATGTCAGACTGAGGAGTTCTGTATGTAGTGGTTATTGTCAGAATGAGGTGTTCTGTATGTAGAGGTTTATGAGGAATGACGTGTTGATGTCAGAATAAGGTGCCCAGAAAAACCCTTCCGCGTTGAATATCATTCTCTTTCAACTGTATTAAATGAGTTGAAATATTGTTCACACGCTCTCAGATTAATATGATAGCACATCACCGAACTTTATTTGCAAGATAATTCTACTTTCACTTTCATGTTCATTTCTGAGAACTTAGTCAAACTGAAGCCTGTCTGGATAAATTTAATGCGATATGCAGTCACATACATCAGAAATGATATCATGCTGATGTTTATGATATAATGAAGAATGAACTCGCTAGATACTCTGGGTTTCGAGATATGTGGGTTTTTTGTAACAAATGTGACCCGATATCTTGAAAGTAATCAAGGAAATTTTGTAGAACTCCATCTCAGGAACTTGCTTACAAGTTTGAAAGACTATAAACTGTTTTTAATTTACATTATTGTGCATTTGAACCACAAGATCTTGAAAAGATTTCAGGGTCATCCACCAGGGAAAAGTCATAGCACTCCATCCCACAAAAGAACCAATAAAACACTAGGACTCTGGGTCTACTAAACTTAAAATAACATCTGACCACTGTGATATAGAAAAATAGGCCAAAGTCATTTATAGGAAGAAAATTTACAGCACTCCACCACTGGCATTTACTTCCAAACATCTTTACCCTGGGTCATATGTAATTTGCCATGACCATACTCACAATTTTTTAAATATTTTACCCTGATGACCTTGAGGAAAGCTCAAGGTCAATTATCATGGGGAAAGTTAGGGTACTCTGATACATGTGTCTACTTGTCAAATACTAGGACTCCAGGTTTTCTGCAACATAAAAGAATGATTCTTACAAATATTTCATATTTGACCTCGGTGACCTTGAAAACATGTCAAAGTCATTTGTATTAGGAAACTTGATAGCGCTTCATTCTAGATAATATCTGCTGGAATACTTTACCAGGACACTGTCGTCTTGAAGTTGAGAAGATTCATAAATGTTCTATTTGACCTCAGTGACCTTGAAAATTGGTTGAGATGATTTGTTGGAAAATGTGTAGTAACTCGTCCCTGGAACTTCCTGACCAAAAATCAGTATCCTGTGTCATCTTTAATTTGAAAAAAATAATATATATATATATATTATATTAAACCCTTGTTATTTTGAAAGTAGGTCAAGGTCATTCATATGTGGTACTTCATCCCAGGTACTTCCTAGCCAAATATCAGTATCCAGTTGTTTAGTTTTCTTGAAGATAACAGTTGAGTGACCAGTGGATCCTTCACCATATCATAAACTGACAGCACCCCCTTCAATAGGGGTTAACAATTGTCTCAGGACACACAACCTACTTTAATATAAAAAGCTAATGAATAATACAAGTCATGTGTCTGTATAATTATGATAATTTTATTTCACAAATTTCTATTGTGTATTTGTTAACAAAGTTAATTTTTGTAGATATCTTTTTCCTACCACACTTTATATCTCAATCCAAAATATCAAATTGTTTTCTGTATAATATTGTTATATATTTACATCAAACAATAATATTTTAAGTTTATAAATTACATTTCACATATCATATACATCAACAAATAAACAATTCTTGCCATATTGTGTTACTTGACAATAATGGAAAAGAAAACTGTGTCAAGAGAGGAATATTTGTTTGAAAAGTGTCAGTTAAGGGACTTGTGTATGACAGAAAGGATAAAGACCCTCAGCATAATCCCTTTCATAGAGATTTAGCAAAATCTTTGAAAAAGTATTTTTGACACCATGATCCACTATTTGTCTCCATATAACAAGGGTGTAGCAATCTGATGAATACTCGTTTTGTATAATTACAGCATAAGGATGCATTACAGCAAGATTATGTATAAAATAGGTAGAAGTCTATATATAATAACAGAGACCTGGGACAAAGGATATCACCTACAGGTGTATTATAACAATTGTACTGTAGAGATGTACCAGAGGGAAGTTCCATCCCTGAAAAGTACCAGAGCCTTGAGACAATAGATATCACTTACAGGTGTATTATAACAATTGTACTGTAGAGATGTACCAGAGGGAAGTTCCATCCCTGAAAAGTACCGGAGCCTTGAGACAATAGATATCACTTACAGGTGTATTATAACAATTGTACTGTAGAGATGTACCAGAGGGAAGTTTCATCCCTGAAAAGTACTGGAGCCTTGAGACAATAGATATCACCTACAGGTGTATTATAACAATTGTTCTGTAGATATGTACCAGAGGGAAGTTTCATCCCTGAAAAGTACTGGAGCCTTGAGACAATAGATATCACCTACACTCAATTCTAACTTGTATAGTACTATACACAGATGATTTTTGATATAATTTTCATACTTTACACAGATAATTTGAATAAGTTTACAACAATAGATACTAATTGTAATAGTTCTGTCTATAGAACAGAAAAATTATCAAATGATACACTGTAATATAATAACCAATAGATCAAACATCAACATATAGATAAAATGTATTATCTGATGTCCCAGTAAAAACACCTACACATGTAATATAATCTCAGTTTACAACAATAGATGTTTTATACAAACATCAACATATAGATAAAATGTATTATCTGATGTCCCAGTAAAAACACCTACACATGTAATATAATCTCAGTTTACAACAATAGATGTTTTATACAAACATCAACATATAGATAAAATGTATTATCTGATGTCCCAGTAAAAACACCTACACATGTAATATAATCTCAGTTTACAACAATAGATGTTTTATACAAACATCAACATATAGATAAAATGTATTATCTGATGTCCCAGTAAAAACACCTACACATGTAATATAATCTCAGTTTACAACAATAGATGTTTTATACAAACATCAACATATAGATAAAATGTATTATCTGATGTCCCAGTAAAAACACCTACACATGTAATATAATCTCAGTTTACAACAATAGATGTTTTATACAAACATCAACATATAGATAAAATGTATTATCTGATGTCCCAGTAAAAACACCTACACATGTAATATAATCTCAGTTTACAACAATAGATGTTTTATACAAACATCAACATATAGATAAAATGTATTATCTGATGTCCCAGTAAAAACACCTACACATGTAATATAATCTCAGTTTACAACAATAGATGTTTTATACAAACATCAACATATAGATAAAATGTATTATCTGATGTCCCAGTAAAAACACCTACACATGTAATATAATCTCAGTTTACAACAATAGATGTTTTATACAAACATTAACATATGTTAACGTACTCTATAATATATACAACCTATTTAGTCTTGCATCAATAAGACATATTTTATCAAATAAAATGGCCTTAAATTGTTAAAATAAACAATTCCTGAACACATACAGGAGTCAGGAGGAAATAAGCAATCTCAAGTTCTTTTCTTAAAACTAAGTAAAACAAACATGCAATATCTGATGAATAGTTCACTGACTTTCTGATTATAACCTTTAACATATTCACTTGAGGAAAAAGACATCATTTCCACAACAATAAATTATGAGAAATTTATTTGAAAAACAAGATAATTTAATGTTTGCTCAGTAAAATAATTTGGTTTTGTGTACCTGAAAATATTTGTATTCAATTAATGAAGTTCTACAAAAAGTATTTCCAAGAGAAGAATTTATCAGAATGAAGCCAAGTCCTAAAAAGCTTCCTGGTTAATAATTCAGTGTTTATTGGTAACACATTAAAATAATCACCGACTGTTTGTTTTGGTTTTATGTATTTTAATTTCTCAAAAAAAAAAAATTCAAAATATTATATCTTTCTCTTAGAATACTCATGGTTAAATCAATTTTCAAGATAACGCGACTGTTTTCATAGGCCACAGTAAAATCCAGACTCCAGACATGATTTATCACAGAATTATCACGTTGCTCATTGTTGGAGAATCATCATAGCGAAATATTCCAAATAGCTCTTTATTCTAGAACACAACATAGTTCACTTTTTCTAATTAAAAACAACAAATAACACCACAAATTTAGTAATTCCTGAACACCCCTGATGGTTAAACCTGACCGTAGCCATACCATTCACGTACGAATATTTCCACTGAAATTGACATCAATCACTCGAACCTAGTCAAAGACGCCGCCTGCCTATTTTACCGCAGCGCGAAGTCGATCTTCAAACTCGTACAGGAAAATCATCATTATCGACAGATTTCCCTCATAAAAACAACGGAACATCACCTGGACTGGGAACAGGAAGGATATTAATGGTTTGTACTTATTATCAGAAGACGTTTTATAGATATAATACCTGCATGTTTATTTACCGAACACTTTGATAAGATGATCATACAAACTGTTGTTTAACCAACTGTATCTCTCTTTCCTTTGCTTTGCCAAGTCTAAAACAGAGTTCCCCTCCCCGTCAAGTATGGTTGTGATGTCATACTTACCTCCTGTTGATTCTATGTGTTGTTTGACGCGAGTCTCACACTTCGTGAACAAGTCTACATCTGGTCTGTCCGACTCAGCGATGTAATGTAGACAATGACGGCCACGGTTGTCTACAGCTGTGAGCAGTGATGGACACTTCTCACATAAATAGACACACATCTCCTTGTTTCCCCTCGCACAACTCACATGTAATACAGTCCGTCCTTCATTGTCTACAGCTGTGATCAGTGATGGACACTGCTCACATAAATAGACACACATCTCCTTGTTTCCCCTCTCACAACTCACATGTAATACAGTCCGTCCTCTACTGTCCACTAAGTTAGACATGTACTGACCCCACACACAATCCCTGTGTACAACATGTCCGTCTGTCCCACACTGTTTATACAAGGTTTGAAGTGTAGTTCTCTCCACTGTCTGGAATATAGATAAGTTTCCTCTAAAGCTTTCTGCCGCGACATAGAGCGGAGTTTGTCCATCATTATTAGTGTCACGTACCAAGTCTGGATACTTATCACACAACTCAGTCACCATCTCTTCACTCCCCGAATCACACGCCCGATGTAGTACATTGTTGTTGTTGTACTCATCCCTCACTGTTATAGTGACGTCATACTGCAGTAGTTTACGTAACAATTCCACACTCCCTCCCTCCGCCACACACAACAGTGTGTCATTGTCAGGTTTGACTCCCACACTCAGAAGATATAAACCACATTCTGTTGAACCAGTACAACATGCATCATTTAACAAGTCATGTTTCTTCTCATCATTCAGGTATTTAACAACTTCCTTAAGTACATCCACATCTCCCTTACCACCACAAAAAACACTTCCTGTAATCAATGGCCACCAGTCTGTGTCATTGTCAGGTTTGACTCCCACACTCAGAAGATATAAACCACATTCTGTTGAACCATACCGACATGCTCTATTTAACAAGTCATGTTTCATCTCATCATTCAGGTATTTAACAACTTCCTTAAGTACATCCACATCTCCCTTACCACCACGAAAAACACTTCCTGTAATCAATGGCCACCAGTCTGTGTCATTGTCAGGTTTGGCTCCCACACTCAGAAGATATAAACCACATTCTGTTGAACCAGACCAACATGCTCTATTTAACAAGTCATGTTTCTTCTCATCATTCAGGTATTTAACAACTTCCTTAAGTACATCCACATCTCCCTTACCACGATAACACCTCCTGTAATCAATGACCACCAGTCTGTGTCATTGTCAGGTTTGGCTCCCACACTCAGAAGATATAAACCACATTCTGTTGAACCAGCACGACATGCATCATTTAACAAGTCATGTTTCTTCTCATCATTCAGGTATTTAACAACTTCCTTAAGTACATCCACATCTCCCTTACCACCACGAAAAACACTTCCTGTAATCAATGGCCACCAGTCTGTGTCATTGTCAGGTTTGACTCCCACACTCAGAAGATATAAACCACATTCTGTTACTTATATAAACCACATTCTTAACAGATATTTAACAAGTCATGTTTTTCTCATTTCATATTTAACAACTTTTTCTCCCCTTACCACAACACCTCCTGTAATCAATGGCCACAAGTTTATCAACTTTTTTCTATAAACTCACATTCTTTGAACCAACTCATCATGCTGATTTAACATGTTTCTCTCATCATTCAGGTATTTAACAACTTCCTTAAGTACATTTTCTCATCTCCCTTACTCATACATCTAGAGAAAGGATAGATCAATGTTCAATGGCCACTTTAGTCTGTGTACTTTTAAATGGTTTGATCTTTCCATACATCTATTTCATCACATACTCCTCACACTCAAACTCTCCACAAAAGAGCAGACGTTCACACAGACATGTATAATGATCTGATGATATAACAATCATGTCTGTGGATGTTTTTGAGGTTGTGAGATAACCTCAAACTCTCGGAGGACGTTCACTGGACAATTCTGTATATAACAACTGGTTTTCATTGGACAATTCTGTATATAACCAACTGGTGTTTGTTCCAATACAAAAAAGCTACTGTGACATGTACGGAATCATGATTAAATCTGTATACTTCATCACCAGACCAATGTATCCCCTTCACCACTAAAAATCCTAGCAATCTGTCTAAACTTTCTTTTACAAATCCTACTTTTTTCTTGTAAGTCAATGAGGTTCTGTCCTCCTCACCATCAATCAGATTAATATCAAATGATTCCTCTAACAATGTTTTGTTGATTTTATCACTGTTTGGGTCTAGATCTTTAACTTTTATCTCCCCTCCATTGAGGAAAAGAAACAAAATGGCACAACATTCTGATAATCTAGAAAATGCTTCATTCAAAAATTCAAAAGGTTTCTCAAAAAATTTCCCACGTTTTGCCTGCAATACCCCAGAGTTATAGAAAAGGTGGCAGCATTGGGGAAAGCCAATGCTTGAAGCAGATTTTACAATACTTTCTATTTCTTTCTCTTCCCATTTATAATTGTTTGGTAGATATTTTTGTAGAAGTTCTTTTCTTTCCTCTAAAATCCTGTATGTGTCAGAACTCATGTCAATGAGGTTATCTTTGGTAAAAACTGGTTTCAAAGATCGCTCTTTCAAATCATTATATATTTCATTACGAATAGTAACAAGCAAAAAATTGGCCTTCATTTGTTGATCTACAAACAGTGTTTTTACATTATTAATTCTTTTGTTCCACTCAGCTACATCCGTATTTCTAACATTTCTCTCTCCAAAAATATCATCAATAAAAGTAACCAGACTCGAGTCTGGAGACAATTTATCTAATTTCTTGATTTTATGAAGCTGAAGAGGTTGTCTGCATTGCTGCTCCTTGATCAGCCAGTCCATGAGTTGAAAGGCAGTCGAAGTCTTGCCGTCTCCTGTGTTACCCTTGATCATTATGACTCTGTTCTTTCCGAGTTTCTCTTGTGCGTCATGAAAAGCTTTGGTCTCCATGAACTTTTTCTCCTCTTTTTCTGTTTTAATCCTGTTTATAGTTTGAACTGTAAGAAAATAAAGAAAGGATATATATTAAAAATAAACTAAAAACCTTTATTAGTATACAGCACTTTAAATACGTTAAGATGTAACTTTTAAAGGGCAGTTTGAATGAACATACATTCTATACAACATTTTTATTCCTGTATTACCAAAGTCCAAGATATTATATTGGAATTTATTTTATATTGAATTATGTCTTTCACCAGAATACGACCCGTTTAATGTGTGTATTGTGAGGACCTATAGGAACGGAGAGAATTTGATGTTAGTTATAATAGGGATAAATCTGAGTAACTGTACTGAGATATTTGCGTTTGTGAACAGAAATATAACTTAATAGTTTGGTGTCCAAATAATTCCATTGATGATGCATTCTGTTGTGATTCTGGTTTTGAGGAATCTGCTGTAACTTTTCTCACATCGTGCCCAGTCAAGTTGATGCGACTCACCTATCAAGGGTCTTAAGTCAGCATGGATTTCTGTAAAATAAATATTCATATATTTAGTAGGAGTAGTCAGAATTTAAAACACCTGAATTATTAATAAGTATGATTTTTTATGATATTTAGTCTTTAAAAGTTGCATTTTCTCTCTTAACTTGCACATGTTCATATTTTTTGCACATTTATACAAGTTTCCTCCGTCTCCAATACTAGAGTTTAGACATGATAACAGACTGAACAACATGAGACATCTGTCCATCAAAATGTCTGAATTAAAAATTCCACTTTCATATGATCTTGATTTGTTTGATCTTTTCCTTTCTTTTCTCTGATTTGCTCGTAATGTTATGATTTATTGACAGGTAAATTAATCATATGATAATGTCAATACCACAAAGGCAAGCCGACAAAATAGTTTTTCTAGATCACAACTAAAACTTAAGAAAGGACAACCTACAAATGAAGTTTAATAACAATTTGTAGAGTGTTTTGTTTTATAAAGAAACAGCAACAACTATATCTGACAAAATGCAATATGGTCACAAAATAGAACCTCCATATGAAATATGAGAAAGATCCATCTCATACTTTTCAATAATGAAAACAAACTTTAATTGTCTACACTAGATCCCAGAGGGATCTTAGCCCCCACCAAAGTATGATATTAAATCTTTAAAAGTTGCATTTTTCTCTCTTTCCTCTTATTTGTTCTTATTTTTCTTTTATTAAATCTGAGGATATGGTAGTGGTAATAACTTTATGGATCTGTTAAAGGCAAGATGGTGACCAAAGCTTACAAATAAAATTTGAAACTGATCCATCCAGTTGTGCTTCTCAAGAAATAGCAATAACAACATGCAGGATAGCCATTATTTAGACATTTTTATCGTTCCGAAATTCCACAATACAATAGAAGGGACCAAGGGCACCTACATATGAAATATAAGAAACTACTCCAAAACTTTAATGACCAATTCTTGATGGACAGACACTATAAGAATTCCTTAATACAGGTACTACTTTAGACCAGCAAAATATATAGTAGAAAAGACTTTTGAGGAGAGTACCATCATCAGATGGTCAATTAACAATAAATATGACTACAGGCTTAGATTTCTAGAACCTGCTTTGACTATTGGATTCTTTGATAACACTCCACTACATTATGGTTGTTTATCATATTCAGAAAAGAACCGTTCAATATCATTATAACAGATGTGTGCATGGTGTGACTTGCGCTGATTGTTGAAGCTGTCGCTGCAGACACATCATCTGAAATAACATACAAGCATTTAATTAGTCAAACCAATTCTAATATCATTCATTTTGTAAAAATAATCCTAATAGTCTACACAGTTATATCAACTTTTAAATAGTCATCCATGTTCATGTATATAGTTCCCTGACCAAGTACCTGTCTAGCTGCACAACTCCACCTTACATAAAGTAGCTTCTTCTTACTTATATACAGTCAACCTGTACTCACATATACTACTCACACAACTAACAACATGAACTACATACTTACACAACTAACTTGTACTTATGTGTACATTTCACATGTAATACATACTCACACAACTAACCTGTACTTGTGTGTACATTTCACATGTACATACATACTCACACAGCTAACCTGTACTGTGTGTACATTTCACATGTACTACATACTCACACAACTAACCTGTACTTGTGTGTACATTTCACATGTAGTATATACTCACACAACTAACCTGTACTTCTGTGTACATTTCACATGTAGTATATACTCACACAACTAACCTGTACTTGTGTGTACATTTCACATGTACTACATACTCACACAACTAACCTGTACCTGTGTGTACATTTCACATGTACTACTCACACAACTAACCTGTACTTGTGTGTACATTTCACATGTACTACATACTCACACAACTAACCTGTACTTGTGTGTACATTTCACATGTACTACATACTCACACAACTAACCTGTACTTGTGTGTACATTTCACATGTAGTATTTGTCACACAACTAACCTGTATACATTTCACATGTAGTATATACTCACACAACTAACCTGTACTTGTGTGTACATTTCACATGTAGTATATACTCACACAACTAACCTGTACTTGTGTGTACATTTCACATGTAGTATATACTCACACAACTAACCTGTACTTGTGTGTACATTTCACATGTAGTATATACTCACACAACTAACCTGTACTTGTGTGTACATTTCACATGTAGTATATACTCACACAACTAACCTGTACTTCTGTCTACATTTCACATGTAGTATATACTCACACAACTAACCTGTACTTGTGTGTACATTTCACATGTACTACATACTCACACAACTAACCTGTACTTGTGTGTACATTTCACATGTACTACATACTCACACAACTAACCTGTACTTGTGTGTACATTTCACATGTAGTATATACTCACACAACTAACCTGTACTTGTGTGTACATTTCACATGTAGTATATACTCACACAACTAACCTGTACTTGTGTGTACATTTCACATGTAGTATATACTCACACAACTAACCTGTACTTGTGTGTACATTTCACATGTAGTATATACTCACACAACTAACCTGTACTCGTGTGTACATTTCACATGTACTACATACTCACACAGCTAACCTGTACTTGTGTGTACATTTCACATGTACTACATACTCACACAACTAACCTGTACTTGTGTGTACATTTCACATGTAGTATATACTCACACAACTAACCTGTACTTGTGTGTACATTTCACATGTAGTATATACTCACACAACTAACCTGTACTTGTGTGTACATTTCACATGTAGTATATACTCACACAACTAACCTGTACTTGTGTGTACATTTCACATGTAGTATATACTCACACAACTAACCTGTACTTGTGTGTACATTTCACATGTAATCACATGTAGTATATTCTCACACAACTAACCTGTACTTCTGTCAGTACATTTCATGTACTATATACTCACACAACAACTAACCTGTACTTGTGTGTACATTTCACATGTAGTATATACTCACACAACTAACTTGTACTTCTGAGTACATTTCACATGTAGTATATACTCACACAACTAACCTGTACTTCTGAGTACATTTCACATGTAGTATATACTCACACAACTAACCTGTACTTCTGAGTACATTTCACATGTAGTATATACTCACACAACTAACCTGTACTTCTGAGTACATTTCACATGTAGTATATACTCACACAACTAACCTGTACTACAGTGTCATTTCAATATCCTTAATACACAGGTCAGTCTTGTGTGTACATTTCACAGGTAGTATATATCACACAATAACACAGGTCAGTCAATATCCTTTATACACAGGTCAGTCAATATCCTTAATACACAGGTCAGTCACTATCCTTAATACACAGGTCAGTCACATATCCTTAATACACAGTCACTAACCTGTACTTGTGTGTAATATCCTTAATACACAGGTCAGTCAATATCCTTAATACACAGGTCAGTCAATATCCTTAATACACAGGTCAGTCATTATCCATAATACACAGGTCAGTCAATATCCTTAATACACAGGTCAGTCAATATCCTTAATACACAGGTCAGTCAATATCCTTAATACACAGGTCAGTCAATATCCTTAATACACAGGTCAGTCAATATCCTTAATACACAGGTCAGTCAATATCCTTAATACACAGGTCAGTCAATATCCTTAATACACAGGTCAGTCAATATCCTTAATACACAGGTCAGTCAATATCCTTAATACACAGGTCAGTCAATATCCTTAATACACAGGTCAGTCAATATCCTTAATACACAGGTCAGTCAATATCCTTAATACACAGGTCAGTCAGTCCTTAATACACAGGTCAGTCAGTATCCTTAATACACAGGTCAGTCAATATCCTTAATACACAGGTCAGTCAATATCCTTAATACACAGGTCAGTCAATATCCTTAATACACAGGTCAGTCAATATCCTTAATACACAGGTCAGTCAATATCCTTAATACACAGGTCAGTCAATATCCTTAATACACAGGTCAGTCAATATCCTTAATACACAGGTCAGTCAATATCCTTAATACACAGGTCAGTCAATATCCTTAATACACAGGTCAGTCAATATCCTTAATACACAGGTCAGTCAATATCCTTAATACCTTAATACAGGGTCAGTCAATATCCTTAATACACTCAGTCAATATCCTTAATACACAGGTCAGTCAATATCCTTAATACACAGGTCAGTCAATATCCTTAATACACAGGTCAGTCAATATCCTTAATACACAGGTCAGTCAATATCCTTAATACACAGGTCAGTCAATATCCTTAATACACAGGTCAGGAATTATCCTTAATACACAGGTCAGTCAATATCCTTAATACACAGGTCAGTCAATATCCTTAATACACAGGTCAGTCAATATCCTTAATACACAGGTCAGTCAATATCCTTAATACACAGGTCAGTCAATATCCTTAATACACAGGTCAGTCAATATCCTTAATACAGTGGTCAGTCATAATCCTTAATACACAGGTCAGTCAATATCCTTAATACACAGGTCAGTCAATATCCTTAATACACAGGTCAGGAATTATCCTTAATACACAGGTCAGTCAATATCCTTAATACACAGGTCAGTCAATGATGCATCTTTCATGGCTAGTAGCAATTTCTAGTAATTGGCGGACAAAGGAATGTTGTATCATGGCTTCAGTCCTTCGGACCAGGTGAGCTAATAAATATCAAGCAATGCTTCTGACAAAATTTTGGTAATATCCTGCAATTCCAAAGAAAAATGTTCTTTAAGGAATTTATCGATTTTCCCCATTGTGCCCCGTCCCAAAGGAGTAAGATCCACCATTTAGACAATGATATTTCCCCTTCCTCGAAAGATCATTGAGACCAAATTTGGTTCAAATTTGCTTAGTTGTTTTTGATTGGTTGCAATTTATATGACGTTGGCAGACGCCAGACAACATGGTATCCTTACAGCTTACTTGGCTCTTCAGGCCAGGTGAGCTAAAATCATCCAAAATGTTCGCAGAAAAATATCTGACTTTTTCTTGTATTAACTACATTCTTAATCTTATATACTACACTGTTTTATAAAAAATCAATATTTACTAGGGCTTGTACTTGTACTGGAGCCCCAAGCCAGACAGACATGTTGACAGGCTGTACAACATGACACGTCTGCCCATCAAAATGTCTTATATTTGGTGTTAGGACTGAAGGGAACTTGGGCTGATCAAGACATGTCTGAAGTCATTCCATTCATATTCTACAGTAGTTAAAACACTAGTAGATATTACTATATAAGATAATACATCACCCAATCAGTATGGAACAGATGTCTAACTCAACTTTATATTATTACATTATTTCCATGTAATTCAATGACTATACACATGCTATGCTTTAGCTTTTACCTCCTGTCAGAGGGTAACATCAATAAACAAGTGCAGTGCTGATACAGTGATACCAACCTACTACAAAGTCTAACTTGAAAATAGAGCTATCTACAAATCTGATCTGACCAGTAACTATTGTACATAGGAATGTGACATAATGTACCAAGGAGAACCTACAAATCTGATCTTACCAGTAACTAATGTACATAGGAATGTGACATAATGTACCAAGGGGGACCTACAAATCTGATCTGACCAGTAACTATTGTACATAGAAATGTGACATCATGTACCAAGGGGAACCTAGAAATCTGATCTGACCAGTAACTATTGTACATAGAAATGTGACGTCATGAACCAAGGAGAACCTACAAATCTGATTTAACCCAGTAACTATTGTACATAGGAATGTGACATCATGTACCAAGGGAAACCTAGAAATCTGATCTGACCAGTAACTATTGTACATAGGAATGTGACATCATGTACCAAGGGAAACCTAGAAATCTGATCTGACCAGTAACTATTGTACATAGAAATGTGACGTCATGAACCGAGGAGAACCTACAAATCTGATCTGACCAGTAACTATTGTACATAGAAATGTGACATCATGTACCAAGGGAAACCTAGAACTCTGATCTGACCAGTAACTATTGTACATAGAAATGTGACGTCATGAACCAAGGGGAACCTACAGATCTGATCTGACCAGTAACTATTGTACATAGAAATGTGACGTCATGAACCGAGGAGAACCTAGAAATCTGATCTGACCAGTAACTATTGTACATAGAAATGTGACATCATGAACCGAGGAGAACCTACAGATCTGATCTGACCAGTAACTATTGCACATAGGAATGTGACATCATGTACCAAGGGAAACCTAGAAATCTGATCTGACCAGTAACTATTGTACATAGAAATGTGACGTCATGAACCAAGGAGAACCTACAAATCTGATCTGACCAGTAACTATTGCACATAGGAATGTGACATCATGTACCAAGGGAAACCTAGAAATCTGATCTGACCAGTAACTATTGTACATAGAAATGTGACGTCATGAACCAAGGGAAACCTAGAACTCTGATCTGACCAGTAACTATTGTACATAGAAATGTGACGTCATGAACCAAGGAGAACCTACAAATCTGATCTGACCAGTAACTATTGCACATAGGAATGTAACATCATGTACCAAGGGAAACCTAGAAATCTGATCTGACCAGTAACTATTGTACATAGAAATGTGACGTCATGAACCAAGGAGAACCTACAAATCTGATCTGACCAGTAACTATTGCACATAGGAATGTGACGTCATGTACCAAGGGAAACCTAGAAATCTGATCTGACCAGTAACTATTGTACATAGAAATGTGACGTCATGAACCAAGGAGAACCTACAAATCTGATTTAACCCAGTAACTATTGTACATAGAAATGTGACACCATGTATCGTGGGAAATCTACAAAACTGATATGTGCTTTTAAAACAAACCTGTAGATTGTTAGTTTGTATAAAACTGAATCCTCTTACCCAAGGATGTCTGTAACTAAATACAAAATATGGAATGAACAGTATTGAAGATGATTCTACACAGTAATAAGCTGAACCAGAAATCAGGACAATCAGTGTGATACATCATATCAATACTGCTTCTATACATCAGACCCAATATCACATCACACTGCCAGGAACTAATTCTGATCATTATTATTGTCAGTTCTCAACTCTATTCAGTATACCCTGGATATTGTTTTCTTCTTCTTCCACATAATTAGCCATTCTTGGATTCATCAATCTTAATTTTGATGTTAAATGTTCATAATTTCCTATTGAAAGTGTAACGTGCAGCCTAGCACTTACGGCGGGTAAGTATCTGATTCCTTGCAGAGATACTAGCTAACAAATGCCGATATATACATATAGCGTGTAACAGCAAACTCTATCTGAGTTAACAATAAAACTAACGAACGAAATAGTATTCACATGGACTGCTGTCCCGACACAGACTGTTCTGACTAGCATGTGAGCTTGAGTGCAAGCTCGACACCCAGTGACTTCACCTAACCCTAGTTCCAACTACTGAACTAGTCGCCGATCAATACCACTTAGTCGGTCCTGACTAAGCCCTAGTTTGTCCTACCAACTAAGTCAACCCTTGCTCGTGTTCCTAGCTCGGGCTCTAACCTAACCCTATAGCTAGCTACACACAGTCAAAAGTCCAAGCTTCGATGAAAACTAAACAGCCCTCGCACCAGCTTGACAGGCGGTTTCGGAAAAGCCACTATTTCAGACTTTCACCCACCACCTGTTACAAATAACTGTGTTATGTTCTTTGTAAGAAGTCTTTCGTCGTCTGTGTATCTTTGAATGCTTCACCAACAGTCAGAATAACAGCGATCTCAATCATTATTTCTATTTACACGTATAAAGATGTTCATTAGGTGTAACATTCGTTGGTATTTAATTTACCATTAATGATGCATACTGAAATATTAACACAGTACAGAATACCTTTCCATACCTTACTACAGAATTATAAACATTTGTATTAATCGACAAAAATCATTAGATGAACAAATTAACCAATATGTAATTAGCTACAAGTCATATTCAAGGGACATAACTCTTATACTTCAATTTCCATTACATTACCCACGCCTCCGACTTATGCGTCCCGCATAATGATCATTAACAAATTATTTTCATTCTTTTTAAACAACCGACACAAAAAACAACAACTTGATCATGAAATAAAGTCAACAATATTCCTGTTTTAAGAAAGATATAGTGTCCCAAATTCTGCACCCTGCAGGTATGGACATATTATATGATGATCTGCTCGTCCACCTCCTTTATCTTCCTGTCACCATCTCTATATGTGACAATTTTCCTAGTCACTCTCTTACAAGTGTAGGGTCCCTCGGTCTGTACACCTATATCGCACAACCGCTTAGCAGATGGCCCAGACAACTTGGGCTCCGATGGGAACCAAGTTTACTTTAGCACAAGGTCATGACATAGTCACCGAAATTCGATGGTTTGCGTATAAGTCTTTTTGGACAACCCATACGAAAATCATGCTCGTCCTCGCTTTCAGTATCATCGCTAAATGAGTCTGCAGACTCGGTGTCGGGGCAACATTCATATTTATCAGAAAGAGGTTCGTCAAGGTCTGATCTCTCATGGGATAGTAGCTGGCTTTTCTTTAAGCGCATGCGGTCAACGTGAATGACTTGTGGCTGATTCTTTTGGCCACAATTGACTTTGTAATTCACGTCGTTGATTTTCTCGATAACATCGAAAGGCCCTTTCCAATATGATGCAAGTTTCGGCCCAAATGATTGTCAGTAACATTTCCGATCGTGATACTTTTTCTGCCGTTGCATAGCATTTTGTGTGCTTTCTCGGAGAAGCGCATGTGCCTTTTCCATTCGTTCTTGGAGGACCCATACCCAGTCATTTTGAGGTATGCTTTTTATTGGGACTGGCATCTCGTACATCAGATCAAGAGGAGTGCTGATCTCTCGGCCCAACATCAGACTGTTTGGTGTGCAACCCGTGCTTTCATGTTCGACAGACCGATAGGCCTTCATAACATATGGAAGCTGCACGTTTCAGTCTGTGTGTGACTCGTTTACGTAAGCACTCAGCATGGTAGCGAGTGTTCTATTAAAACGCTCGACCATCCCGTCCGATTGCGGGTGGTACGGTGTCGTGCGAGTCTTGTTGATACCCAAAAGTCGGCACATCTCAGTAAAGAGTTTTCCTTCAAACTGACCTCCTTGGTCGGAGTGTATAGAATTCGGTATTCCATACCTTGCTACAATTTTTCAACGATGATCTGTAACAGATTCCATGTTGCGCATAGGATAGGGAAGGCTTCTGTCCATCTGGTGTAGTAGTCGGTCACAACCAAAATATACCGATTGCCTTGCCTTGTCATCGGAAGTTCGCCAAGGATGTCTGTCGCGATCCGTTCCATCGGATACCCAACCTGTATCAGTTGCATAGGAGCACGCTTTGTCTTTTGATGGTTCTTCCTACGACAGCAATTATCACAACCGGCAATGTAGCGTCGGGCGTCTTGTTGTATTCCCGGCCAGTAGTAACTCAGTCTTATCTTAGATAGAGTTTTGTTACCCCTAGATGACCGGCTGTTCGACTGTCATGACACTGCTGAAGTACCTTCACCCGTTCCTTACTAGGAACCACGGCCTGGACCTTTACCTTTTTGTTCCCAGTGCAGGTCCATTTCCGACACAACACACCATTCTCGATTACTAGAGAACTCAACTGATTATACATTAGTTTGGCAAAGGCATTATTTGTGCTGATTTCCGCATAACTTGATTGAGTACCAGTTTCAACTGTTTGTATTACTCCCGACAAATCAGGATCCTCTTTTTGCAGCTTGCTGAAAGTCACCGGTTCGTAAGTACTGTCTATCGATAACTTAGACGGCTTCACTGTTTGAATAGTTTCAACAAATTCCTGACAACAGCTTGGGTGAACATCTGGGGATTTACAATGCATCCTATTTAACGCATCAGCGTTCCCATGGAGCCTTCCAGGTCTACGTTGGATTTCCATGTCATACGTAGACAAGACCTCTAGCCAGCGGGCCAACTGTCCTTCTGGCTCCTTCATGCTGGTCAGCCATCGCAGCGAACTATGATCAGTACGCAGCAGAAACCGTCTCCCGTACAAATAGTTCCGGAAGTATTTGGTAAAGAAGACAACCTCAAGAAGTTCCTTTCTTGTAACACAATACCCTCGTTCACTTTTCGTGAGTGCTCTACTTGCGTACGCTATTGGTTTTTCAACCCCGTCTTGTATTTGAGATAAAATGCCACCAATTGAACTGTTGCTTGCGTCAGTGTCCAGGATGAATAAGTCCGTAAAAATGGGATGTGCGAGAATTGGTGCATTTGTCAGTTTACACTTCAACTCATAAAATATCTCCTGACATTCTTTGGTCCAGTTACTGGCTCAGGCCATGCGTGGACTGCCTTAATCTTCTTTGTGTCAGTAGAGCACCCTTCCTCAGACACAATGTGACCAAGGAATTCTACCTGCTTTGGAAACAAACAACAGTTTCTGGCCTTTAATTTGAGATCTGCTGAAAGTAGTTTGTCAAACACCTGTGTCAGGTTACTGATCATATCTTCGAATGATTTTCCCATCACTATGATATCGTCCAAATATATTAGACAGGTCTGCCAATGTAGTCCACCAAGGATAGTCTCCATGACTCGTTCAAATGTAGCGGGTGCATTGCACAACCCGAATGGCATTAATTTGAACTCAAACAAACCCTTCCTTGTGGAGAATGCAGTCTTTTCCCGAGAGCTCTCATCTACTTCAACTTGCCAGTAGCCCGAACAGAGGTCTGAAGTGGAGAACCACGTAGAATCAGCAAGTTGATCCAAGGACTGGTCGATCCTCGGTAAAGGATACGCATCTTTCACTGTCAATGCATTTAGTCGCCGATAGTCGACACAAAATCGTGTCGTTACGTCCTTCTTCTTAACGAGCACTACACCTGATGCCCAAGGACTTGTCGATGACTGAATTACATCTCTTTCCAAGAGGTCATCTACCTGTTTGTCAACTTCGTCAGCCATGGGTGCAGGCATTCGTCGCAACGGTTGCTTCACCGGTCTTGCGTCTCCTGTATCAATGTTATGCCTGATAATGTCAGTTCGCCCAAGATCCTTATCAATTTCAGCGAATAATGGAGAGTACGTTAGAAGCAATTCCCGAACCTGACTTTTCTGCTGAGGTAAGAGAGACTCTTTACTTCTCTCAAGCAACTCCAATAGATGTGATGCAAGAGACTCTCCTTTCTTACATTTTACACTACTTAGAACCTTGACGTGATTTACCACACTGTATTGTCCAATAGTCGTTCCTGCATACAATGTTTGTGGTTCAGAAGAGGGATTCATGTATCTTACCAGTACTTGGTTACTACCTGTAACCAGAGTTTTCCCAACTACACCTCTGTCTGATTTCAGGAACGTACCTAGAGGTTCAATTATCCCGAGATAGAACTCTCAAATATCGTTATACACAGGTAGTACAAGTCTATACGGAGACTCTACAGACAGAACTCTCAAATGTCGTTTTACACAGAGAGTACATGTCTATACGGAGACTGTACAGACAGAACTCTCAAATGTCGTAATACACAGATAGTACAAGTCTATATGGAGACTGTACAGACAGAACTCTCAAATGTCGTTATACACAGGTAGTACAAGTTTATGCGGAGACTCAACTGACAGAACTCTCAAATGTTGTTATACACAGGTAGCACAAGTCTACACGGAGTCGTTACAACCTCACAGAATTGAAAGACTGACGGCAGTCTGGTGAAACATTTAGAAAGTGATTCATAACTAAAAGTTGGGCGTCTGTACGTTCACAAAACTGCTTTCATTTCATATTCAAAATAATGGATAACATTACACACTTACAGAAAAGTAGACGACGGTTCGTACACGAAAATAAATGACGTCCACTGGCACAAAAGTAATAGACGGTGCACTTACACAGAAAAGGGAATACTGAACACCGAACACAGATAACAGTAAATTACACAGAACAAAACGACAGTACACAAAACCATACGACGGTACACAAAACAAGACCACGTTACATTAGCAGAAATATAGGATGGTACACTTACACAAACACTTATAATCCTGTAATCTTGAGTGATTTGAGACTGGGCAAGGAATAAATGTTCAAATTGATGACAAATGACACCAGACATATCTTAATTAGATGTGTAAACCTACCTGGATTATAAACGATATCAGAGAATTTATCTCTGGCGATATTATTGTCGTTATACACAGGTAAATTGTACATGTATACGGAATCGTTGCAGACAAAACTCCAGAACGACGTTCTACACAGGTAAATTGTACATGTATACGGAATCGTTACAGACAAAACTCCAGAACGACGTTATACACAGGTAAATTGTACATGTATACGGAATCTTTATAGACAGAACTCCAGAACGACGTTATACACAGGTAAACTGTACATGTATACGGAATCTTTAAAGACAGAACTCCAGAACGACGTTATACACAGGTAAATTGTACATGTATACGGAATCTTTATAGACAAAAATCCAGAACGACGTTATACACAGGTAAAGTGTACATGTATACGGAATCTTTATAGACAAAACACCAGATCGACGTTATACACAGGTAAATTGTACATGTATACGGAATCTTTATAGACAAAACTCCAGAACGACGTTATACACAGGTAAATTGTACATGTATACGGAATCGTTACAGACAGAACTCCAGAACGACGTTATATACAGGTAAATTGTACATGTATTCATTATTTGTTAAACTAGCATCAAACACGTTCATGTCACACAAAGAAATAGGATACGTTCTGAAACCTTGTGTCACGAGTTTGTCCGTCAGTTGACAACTATTTCACGAAAATCGTGATATTGAGAACAGGGCCTTGTATATCGATTCAGTTGCGACATGTAAAAACCATGGAAAGGAGATACAGAGTCGCTGGTATACAGGAGTGGAAATAATCATGCTTATCAAACAGCTTGATGGAAAGCTGTCCATGTTTGTTTCGTTGTAGGAAAAGATCGAGATAAGCGGCTGATGTAGAGTTTGTCGTGTCAATAATTTCCAGTTTTGCTGGGTATATACGATAGACATAGTCAATACATGTCTTATAATTTTTAGACGCAAAACACTTACACAAAAGAAGATGATGCAATACACTCACACAAAAGAAGATGATGCAATACACTTACTCAGAAAAGATGATGCAATACACTTACACAAAAGAAGATGATGCAATACACTTACACAAAAGAAGATGATGCAATACACTTACACAAAAGAAGATGATGCAATACACTTACTCAGAAGAAGATGATGCAATACACTTACACAAAAGAAGATGATGCAATACACTTACACAAAAGAAGATGATGCAATACACTTACACAAAAGAAGATGATGCAATACACTTACACAAAAGAAGATGATGCAATACACTTACTCAGAAGAAGATGATGCAATACACTTACACAAAAGAAGATGATGCAATACACTTACACAAAAGAAGATGATGCAATACACTTACACAAAAGAAGATGATGCAATACACTCACTCAAAAGAAGATGATGCAATACACTTACACAAAAGAAGATGATGCAATACACTTACACAAAAGAAGATGATGCAATACACTTACACAAAAGAAGATGATGCAATACACTTACACAAAAGATGATGCAATACACTTACTCAAAAGAAGATGACACAATATACTTACTCAAAAGAAGATGATGCAATACACTTACTCAAAAGAAGATGATGCAATACACTTACTCAAAAGAAGATGATGCAATACACTTACACAAAAGAAGATGATGCAATACACTTACACAAAAGAAGATGATGCAATACACTTACACAAAAGAAGATGATGCAATACACTTACACAAAAGAAGATGATGCAATACACTTACACAAAAGAAGATGATGCAATACACTTACACAAAAGAAGATGATGCAATACACTTACACAAAAGAAGATGATGCAATACACTTACACAAAAGAAGATGATGCAATACACTTACACAAAAGAAGATGATGCAATACACTTACACAAAAGAAGATGATGCAATACACTTACTCAAAAGAAGATGATGCAATACACTTACACAAAAGAAGATGATGCAATACACTTACTCAAAAGAAGATGACACAATATACTTACTCAAAAGAAGATGATGCAATACACTTACACAAAAGAAGATGATGCAATACACTTACACAAAAGAAGATGACGCAATACACTTACACAAAAGAAGATGACGCAATATACCTACACAAAAGAAGATGACGCAAATAGATGATACAAATACAAAGAAATAAATGACGGTAAAACATAAAATGATTAGATGACGCTACGCTAACACAAATGATCCTATCATCTGGAGTTTATGGAGATTAGTAACGATGCAAACTTGATAATCAATTGATGTGAGTACCAACCTTAATTATGCACAATAATCGGACAGATTGTCTTCTGATTTTTTTTTTGGTCGTCGAGCACAAGCTTGTGAAATATAATACAGTCAGAGCTTCGAAATAACAAATGTCACTTATTTAGACAAATAACCTCGATTGTTCTTATATACAGAACTCCAGAAGGTCGTTATATACAGGTAATATGTAGTCGGAGCTTAAAAAAGATTACACGTGTTTTATAGATTATACAAAAGCATTCGATTTAACTGATCGGGGTTGTTTGTGGTCTTAACTGATAAAACAGGGTATAAAAGGAAAAATGTTAAAAATTATCCAGTCATTGTATAACGATGTAAAATCATGTATAAAACTTGGTGGCTGTCTTTCAGAGTATTACCCAAATACAATCGGCTTGTTTCAAGGTGAAATTATGTCCCCCATTCTCTACAGTTTATATGTAAATGACTGTGAAATGAAATTTATTACTGAAAATTGTCCCCTGTTGAGCTTGGCCTACTTAACTTATTTTTACTTATGTATGCTGATGACACGGTATTGATCGCTGAGGCACCGGAAGCGCTACAGAAGCTTTTAGACGCACTTC